TAGTGTAGGTGGCACTCATAATTCCTTTATGTTGTATTTAAATTCATTAGAATAAAAGTGAAAAAAAAACAATGAAAGAGAAAGGAACCCTAAACTTTTCGAAGTCTGGTTATTTTCAATCTTTCACTAGGGATCTTATTGCAAAAGAATCAGTGCCCCAGCCCTCCACTCCCCATATGCTTCCTTCCAGCCATCTCCATGGGACTAAGTCTGGGCAGTGCTCCAAGGCCCAAGTGAAATTTTGCTCCATTCACGCAACTTTTCCTGTAATCTTCAATGGGTGTGATCTCTCCCCTGGGAACTTACACAGAATAATTTCCTCTTGGGACATTGCTCCCTTCTGACTATAACGTGTTTGTATAACAGGGCACTTTCACCGGACTCTGAGCTTCTCAGAGGCAGGGTCTAGGTTTCACGGTTATGTCCCACAAGTATCTAGAATGGTCCTTGATACATAGAAGGCATTCAACAAACAGACGTGGAACTGAGTGTCAATAAAGGCACAGTTAGTCTGTCACGTTTGTGTAGGCTGCTTTCAACCCTCACGTTCTAGAACGGCAAGGCTGCTGGATGGCTGACTCCTCCTGAGAGGTTACTGTCCTAATACGATATGGGTACCAACATATTCTCTTCACATTCTGATACAGGACCTTTGAGCTTGCTAATTCCTCTGTCTAAAAGCCTCTATGTGAGAGGCTTCTGCTGACCTCTACTCAAATGTCACCTTCAATGTAAAGTCTTCCCTGTCTGTCCTAATTCAAATTTTAACACTCTTTCTTCTCCAACTTCCTATCCCTTTTTATGATGTATTTTTCTGTGTATCAGTAACTGTCATGCATAAGGTAGATAATTAAAAATGGCTGTGAACATTTAAAAATGAACATAAAGCATTTATAAAACACTTAACTTCTACTTGGCACAATGCAAGGTATCAGAGACACAGAATTGTACTTGACCTCAGTCATCTCAAAATATGGAAGAGAATGGACAGCTACATGGATGGCTAAAATACAAGAACAAATGGAATCATCTTTGCAGAAATGGCAAGAAAGCTTTATGGAAATGTGATGAAAAGGCGCCAATTGACTAGGGAGAGTAATGAGTCTTGAAAGGCAGGAGGGTGGGAGCAAAGGGTGGGAGAAGGCCCTGGATTGAGTGTCAATAAAGGCATGCAGTGGAAAAGCTAAGGCTAGAGTCATGTGGACAGGGAGTGGAAGGACATAGGGAAGGAAAGGGCAATTGATCCGGCCACAAAGACTCTCAAAAGCCATGTTATGAGGTTAGCTTCATCCTAGAGAATAATCTGTTTCAAGATTTGAGGGGGAAAAATATGAACAAAAATGAATATCTAACAATCTTCATGAAATATCTTACATCTTCATTTCACAGAACATGTTGGAGTACTGACTACACCCTAGTTACTCTCTAAGGAAACATTGCTATTCACGGATCCTAAGGAATCAGCTCCTGCTGGTGTGTAGCTGGCTGTCCTCCAGAGGATTATAAAAAATGACCAATGAAAACAGAATAATCCACTAATAAGGTGGACAGCTCAGTACTGATTGGAGTTCTTTGTAGAACACAGGTTGGTAAATTCTGAAATCCTCTACAAAAGCCTTCCGGAATATCCAAGATCCTCTTGACCTCTTCAGCTTGTTGTAGCATCTTTTGCAGTTGCTATGACCAAAATACCCAACAAAAACAATTTAGAGAAGAATAAGTCAATTTGGGCTCATGATATCAGAGGTCTCAGTCCATAGATGGCCGACTCCATTGCTGTGGGCCCAAGGTGAAGCAGAACATCATGGGGGACAGGCATGGCGGAGGGAAGCTACTTCCCTCATGACAGCCAGGAAATGGGAGTGGGGTGCAGGGAAGATGAACCACTCCAGGGTACACACCCAGTGACCCACCTTCTCCAGCCACAACCTACCTACCCTCAGTTAACACCCAGTCAGTCCATTCAATCGAGGGTGGACAGATAGGTTACACACAGCCCTCACTATCCAGTTATCTCACCTCTGAACATTCCTGCAGTAACAGAGGAGATTTGCGGGAACACCTCATTTCCAAACCATAACACAGCTCTTGGTTTTAAATAATCACAATTACAACATCAGATGAAAACATTCTCCTTCCTGTCAGTCAGGTCCTGAGCTAGGCACTGAAGTATGTCACATAATCGTCACAAGAAGGCAGGAAGGAGTTTGTTATTATCCTGGTTTTACCCGTAAGGAAACAATGGCTTGGAAAAATAAGAAATCTGCCCACCAGTAGCCAGTGGAGAAGTAGGATTGGAACACAGAGCACACAACCTTAAACCTGCCGGCGCGTGCTTAACAGCCGTACACTCAGTCCTGTATCTTTCTAATCTCTCCACTTGATAAGTTGTGTGAGAGCAAAGAAGGATTTTATTCCTTTGTTTGTCCTCCAGTGCCTTACATCAGATCTTAAGAACTTCTTGGTGAATGAATGGCAACAACGTAAGGCAAGGATAACACGGGGTCCAAGAGTTCAGACAGGGAAGAAGGTCACTTTCCAGACGTCACTGTGAGGAGAGGTGTGGCAGTCAGCTGCCAAGATGGCTCCAGGGATCCTGGCCTCCTGGTGGTCACATTCTTTTACAATCCCCTACCACCACCGTGAATCAGCCCTGCCTGTGCCACCAACAGAACAACTTCCCTGGCCATGTTAGAAAGGGCATTGCAATGGACGCCTCCAAGCAGCCCCATGGAGAGACCCACACAAAGAGCAACCAATTCACCCCACTGACTCGCCAGCTGGGTAGTGAGGGAGCCGTCTTGGAAGCAGACCTCTACCCTGGGAAGGTTATCAGTTGAAGGTAGCCTTAGTCTGCCTCTGATTTAAGCCTCGAGAAAGATTCTAAACCCAAACCACACTGGAGAGTCAATGCTGAGTACCTACCACAGAAATCACAAGACGGAATAAACGATTGTTATTGTTCTAAGCTATTAATTTGGAGAATATTTGTTACCCAGCAATAGATAACCAAGATAAGAGAAATGGAATGAATTCCCCAAAGGAAGTAGGACTGGAATTACAGGCATCAGAGAAAGTGTAGAATAAGGTAGGCAAAGCAGTGAAGAAAGCATGGGGGAAACTTTAAGCCAAGGTGGGTACAGCTGTTATAAAGAACCATCTCAAAAAAAAAAAAAGAACCATCTCCACAGAGGACCTAAAGACTGGAATAAACTGGAATGGTCATGTAGTCTGACCACTCATCAAAAGCTAACATCCATTTATAAAATAACAAAACTAAGATTGTCTGAATTTATCTAAGCTAAAACCCTGAAGGGCTGACCTCCTACAGCTCTCCTACACACAGTGACGAATGAAGAACATGGTAGTCCTCCCTTACCCATGGTTTTCTTTTCCACATTTCAGTTACCAACGGTCAATCATGGTCTGACAACACTAAATGGAAAATTCTAGAAATAAACAATGCATGAGTTTTAAATAACTTGCTATGGTATATTGTTATAGTAACGGACTATGCTATGAGGATAAGGGGGCAACAGTATTTAATTATGACAGACGGCAGGAACCGAAATCATTCCTGAAAGCAATTTAAATAAGAAAGCAAGGGATCAGCAAGAGAGGGAGAAGAAGGGGAGAAGAAAGAGGAAAAGGAGGAGGCCTCCCCTTCCCCTGTTCTCCTGATCTGAAGTTAAAAAAAAAAAAATCGACAAACTATAGAGAAAAAAAGATTAAAGAATCATGCATCTAAACTCTTACAGGGAGTCAGGGGCAGATCTGAGCTTATACTTAAGCCTCCAGCAGGGTCCAGCAAGAGAGAACCCACTAACAGATCTGCCTTTCTCTGAGAACAGAAGGCCACACTTCCTGGCCTGATGGTCAGCATAGCTGCCTTCAAAGGAAGAATGCATCTGAGATGGAAAGTTTTACCACCCACAACATTCTCTGTTCCAAGATACGATGTTTTATTGGTACCAGGGTTGGTTCTTAGCAGATCTATGAACCGCACTGGAGAAGGAGTTCCACCTCCTTCTGCCTTATTCAAGAGGTGGGTACAGCATCTGCCTTTAATTATAGGGGGGCACGAGGAAACTAGTTCTGGAGGCAGCCACCTGTAAAAGGTGCTGCTATGCACACAGTGGCACAGAAAGTGGAAGGACAATGCTCAGGCCAAATTGAAGAAAGTCAACTTAGTGACTCCCCCCGCCCCTGCCACCCCAAGTCACCCTCCTCTGAGGAAGATATCATATGCTGAGCTGAGAACAGAGAATAAGCTTTTGAAAACATACTCCAAATACTAAAATAGCTGGTGATCCCTCTAGGAAAACAAAACACAGTATAATAAGAAAGGTGCACATGCCCTGGAGAGTTTAAAAGATATAACATATACCAATGAACGGCCCATAAAGTAACGGTCAAAATATCTTAGCACCTCTCAATCCAGAAAAACTAGACTTTCAACAAACACTGTATTTATGGTACTGCTGATTGGCGTGATCAATTGGTCTAGTATTCCTATATCAATAGGAAAGTCTGGGGATACTCACCAAGATCTCAGACAAATTGGGGGTCAATGGAACATGCTGGAAATGAGTTAAGAGATGCCCAAGAAGCTTCTAAGAAGAAGAGTAGTGATAAAAATTCTTTCTCAGAAAAACAGCACCATTTATTGACACAATGGACTTACTGGATGGGAGGGAATGATCAACCAGAGGGCCAATCTGATTTACAAATGGCTGCTCAGCTGCCCAGACAAGCCACAGGCAGACACATTAACAATAACGTGCAATTACTCAGGTATAGCAAGTTCTCAGGGACACAGTGTAGAGGAACATGCCCCGTGCCTCTGGGTGTTTTCCCACAGCCCAAGCACTAGGCCCTGCCCGCAGCAGCTGTTTGGCTAAAGTGGGTGCTAAGGGCGACACGGCTCACACCCACCCCCTTAAGCAGCTCAGGATCAAAGGTGCCAGCATCACAGGTGCTTCCCTGGGCTGGGTTCTTACCATCGTTGAAGCTGTCACCGGTGGCCACGTGGGTGAAGGGTGACTGGGCCCGGGGCTCCTCGCTCAGGGAGTAGCTGTGCTCAGCCTGGATGAGGGGCGCGGGTGACGTCGGGGATGGCTCCACCTCCATGGACGACGATGACGCACTCTTCTCTGTGAGGAAAGGGTCGTTGAGGAGCTGACCCAAGACGTTCTGGGAAAACTCATCCAGAAGTTCTGAGAAGTGCTGCAAGAAACAAAGAGGGTATTTGCACAACACTCGAAGGCAAACACACGGAGCAGAGCTTCATGTGAAGCCACTCACCTGCAACGGCCAGTTGTGTATTTCTGTCTATCAACCACCCCAATACTTAGTGGCTTAAAATAACCATGGTTTAGTATTTCTCACTGCTGGGTGGGTTTTGGGGTGGGGGTGAGCTGATTTTACTGGGTTCCCCGGTAACACCCTCAGTGACTGGAGCAGAGGCTTTGCTGGGCTGGGACCCCTAGACCCCTGGGTCCTTTCCAAGGAGGCTGAATCAGGCTGAGCTTCTTCACATGAGGGAGAAGATGAATGGCCTTGGAAGTCACACAGTATCCCTCTCCCCACATTGTTCTGGTTGAGGCAAGTGACAAAGCCAGCCCAGACTCACAGGATGGGAAAGTAGACTCCACTCCTTGAGGAGAGGAATGGCACGATACCACAGCAGATGATGGGCTGGAAGATGGCGCGATTCACTGGGCACCACTGCCATTTTCCACCTCCAATGCCATGATCTTTGTGGCCTCTACCATGCCATGGACATGACATAGGAATAGTCTGTTGACAATCCAGGGGACTCTCAGATCCCTTTTTATACTGTCCCGCCTTAAATGAGATGAAACAACTTCACCCTAAGATTAGAACCAGATCTCTTCATTATACAAGAACCCGAGGCCAACCTCTGGTTCCCAGTGCCTCAGTGGTGGGGACCTGCAGAGCAGGATGTCTCGACCTTGGCATTACTGACACATTTGACAGGATAATTCTTTGCAGGGGAGGAAGGGGGAGGTGGTTCTGTGTACTGCAGGATTCACTGGCCTTCACTTCATCCCCCAAGGGTGAAACCCAAAAGGTCTCCAGACACTGCCAAATGACCATCCTAAGGGACAGAAAATCACCCCTATTTAGAATCACCACAATAATGTATATTAAAAATAATAATAATTTAAAAGTCCACCTGGGCACCAGCGGGTTTAGACACTTCTGCCTTCCTGAACATTTCCTGAGTCACAGACCAGCATGTGACATTCTTAATGACTAAACTTTAGGAACACCTCTGGTATGGAAAGAAAGTCAAGAAAGCAGATACAGCAGTACGAGAACTAACTGCTAGCAGTGACCCTGGGGGTAAGCAATGAAAATCCTTGGGGTTCACACGAACAACGAAGTCCCACCATGGAACGGAACAAGAGAAGATGTGAAAATGAATGCAGGAAGGGAAGGTGGGACTTGACCCTGGGGCTCATGCTCTAAGGTCAGGACACAGCCTCTTACTAAAGGAGAGAGTGGACCGCAGGCAGGAGGCCCTTGAGGTGGGCGGGGTCCCTCCAGGGTCTCAAGGGTGGGCTTCCTGGCATCATGAGTGCAGCAAAGGCTGCATCTCATCAGCACAGAACGCAGGGGTGCTGCAGGCCCTGGGCAGGGTGTCTGAGAAGACGAGAGGGGGTGGGGGACTCGTGGGCACACACACGTTAGGAAATGGGAGGTCATTAGGAGTGCTCAGCAACCATTCCAACTGCCTGCCGCCCAGTTCCCAGGGGAGTAGAGTGCTGTCGTTCTATAATGAAACACCTCGAGCATTCAGAAAAATTACAGGTAGCAGTATCCCCAACAAGTACGTTCTCATTCCTTTAAAAGAATCTTACTTTCCATGTTTGCTTCTGCAACCTTTTCGTCTCTGCTCTTTCCTCCCTTCTTCCTTTCTCCCTCCCTTACACCTTCATTTTTAAGAGACAGAATATATTGAAGGGACCGTGGAAGCTCCCACCCACTTCATATCTTCGTTCTCAGAACTAACTATTAGCCTGACCTTGAGTGTATCACCCATATACAGGTTTTCATATGTTATCTTTAAGCTTTAAATGAATAGTGCCACGCTTCAAACATCTCCCTGCAACTTTTTTCCTTCAAAAACAGTGTTTAGATTTAGCCACATTTATACATCTAGCTCTACTTCATTCATCAAACTTCCAGATTATATTCCATTGCATTTACTCATTCCTCTTGAGGAACATTTAAAGGTATTTTTATGATGCGCAACATTGTAATAAATATGCTTGAACATCAGGGAATTTTTTTGAAGATATTCACATTCTATGAGCCACCCTCAGAGATTTTAAATTAGATGTCAAAGGCATCTGCAGATTGAAACCACCACGACCACCTATGATTCTGCAGTCACTTCATTTTTGACCACTGAAGGCTGACTTGGCTTCCACTCACCACCCTTCTTCCTACACCAGCAGGAAGTTCCCAGAAGTTCAGATATGCCCAAGGTCAAAGGAAAATTCATAGATTTTTCAGCTGCCAAATGCTGTCCCTGAGCTTACCGTTCAGGGTAGTGCATATGAATTACCTGGGCATCTTAAGACACAGATTCTGACACAGGTCTAGGCAGGGCCCAAGTCCTTCATTCTAAAAGCTCCAGGTCACGCTGCAAATCCAGACCCCTTGTGAGTCACAAGGAGCAGAACCACAGAAGGCTAAGATTAGAACCAGACTCTTGATGATACAATAACCTGAAGCCAGCCTCTGTTCCCTAAGGAGCTCCCCCAAAACATTCATGCTTGACTGATGGTGAATATTCTGCCAGTGTTTGACGAAGTTTTTTTTAAGAGCCAAATTAAAGTAACAAAAAGAGAAATAAATAACACAGAACAGAATATGCAAAAGCAAAAGATGAACTCACAGGGCCCCCATGTCTGAGCCACAATTCTGTCCCCTGAAGAAAAGCGTCAACCCTGGCCAATTACGCTGACTCTGCTAAACTTCTGGAATCCCATTCTACCCGGAGGGAAGGCGAAGCTGCCCAGGTTGGGTTACTCTGCTGACATTCTTTTTTCTTTGTCCTGAGCAGCCCTAATGAATGTTTTCATGAACATCCCCTGGATAACCAATAATAAACCTTCACTAGCTCTGCTAACCTTCCCAGAGTCTCCCCTACTTTGGATGATGATACAGTAATTATCACGTTATGAAACAATTTAGTCCTCATGATAGACGGTCCTGAAACATCCAAAGTTGTTATCAAACTTTCCTCTCTAGAGAAAAGAACCTCCAAGAAGCAAGGACCAACTGCACCTAACCAGCCGCCCACACGAAGGAACTCAGCAAAGGTAAGCAACTGAATCAGTTCAGGGGAAAGACTCGTGAACTAAAAGATAAACCCAGCAAGTGCCAACCAGATGCTGTGACTCAGGCCAGCCAAATGGTACCACTTGGATCTCCTTGGCAGCTGTGGGCTCCAGGTCTCAGCAGACATGTCAACATCTCACTGCTGGTACAGGGCTCAGGCCAGAGTCAGCCCATGATTGATGCCAGCCTATGGCATTAATAGAGAGAGGTATCACTTGTCAACACAGAGAAAGGAACAAAGCAAGCCTCGAAGAGGATCCCTTCTGGATCCTGCTAGCACTTTCACAAAGTACTCAAGGGCTATAAAAATTCAGTGTCATTCCTTCAAAGACAATGACACGGTAACATTTTGCTATCCTGCATAAGTACTTTAATCAAGCTTCATAGGTTCACAGGGGATTTGAATAGTCTTTTCCTTGCTCTGTGATTACAAGAATTCTGTGGGGTTGGGACTACACTGTTGATGAAAGGTGCAAGTGATATTCCATACCAAGAGCAGAGGGTTCCAGATCCCAGGTGCTTTCTATTACAGCATGCTAGCTTCATGGAGTCGGTCCACAAAGCCAGACAAAGGCAAACTCACAGTCCTCCCAAAACACATGCAATCTGCTTGCTATAAACGCACACGTGGTCCAGCCACTGCGAATAAGTGATCTTCCACATTCGTGGCGTGGAAACGTGCCAGGGGGTGTGAAGTGGAGAGATTCCTGGCATCACTTTCTGTGGTCCATCAGCAGTAAGGACGGACATACTTATTTGCTCTTAATGCAAGTTTCTGCCAAAGAGTTCAAAGTGACATCACAGAAGCTCTCGGTTGGAAGAAATCTGCTGACAGGATTGAACCCTCTACCTCACATCATCAATGTTCTTCGCCAACTCTGAAGACACTGGGCAACCTCCTCTAAGAATTTAAGAATTATCTCCCCATTACCTAAAGACCCTGCATTTAATAGCCTCCAATCTAGCCCCAAACAAACTGTAAAGTCTAGTCTCCTTTTATTCTTATGGATGATACTTTCATTCTAAACTGAATGACCCTGGAGCAATACAGCTACAAGCCAGACAGCTCTCAATTTGAATCCTGGTTCCCAGCTGTGCAAAGATGAGCAGGACACTTGCACGGTCTAAGTTTGGTTTCTTCTCCTTTTAACATGAGGTTCATAATCCTACCAGCCTACTGTCATGAAGGTTCAATGAATAATGCATATAATATACCTCACTCTTCACTGGCTAGCAATCTTTGAAGTTCTTTTTTAAAAGTAACATAATTAAAACAGTAAGAGTTAAGCACATTCTGCTTGCATACAGACTTCTCACACTATTTTTAGGGTATTCTTTCATTTTCCTCTTTACCCACCAGGAAACTACCTAAAATGAAAAAAAAAATCTATTTCTTTTTTAAAGTCATTGTAGATAGACACAGCTTGAATTGGTCTTTCCCTGAACATCCTCTGTCCTGAGAACAAGCATCTCATAATTGGACACATTATGACTTTTCTTCGACCTTCCTTTCGTCTCTACCTATCTTAAATACTTTACCATCCCTATGACCCAGATGCAAGCCTTTCCACCCTCCCCTCTGAGCAGCCAACACCTGTCTCAACTGGATCCACTGATCATTCTACAATACTTAAGTGAAACAGAGAAGAGATTTGAATTAAAGCTTAGGCATCTCTAGCAACTAAAGTTTAGTGCTGTTAAATGTTTAAAACGTATATCCAAGTTTAAAAGTTAGATAAACTAGTAGAAATTGCTAACTGTAATAATTGCTTGTTGTATTAAAAAAAAATACCAAGGCCTGAAAACATTTATGTTTGTGTCTGCAGGTCACTAATGAGCTCTCAAGGTAGCCTTTGAGGGGGAGTGTTTTACGATCTGCTGCTACTAAACTGACCCAAGACTGAGAGTCATGGCTTGAGGAAAGGAGAACAAAGTAAGAAAAAAATGAAGGATTCGTAACTTTGAGTTCAACTACCTGGACTACAGAGCTACTTGGCTCCTTCCTTACTGTCCACACCCTGATGGCTACTCATCAGGGCAAGGCTCTGTGCTGGGTGAGGGGTGGCAGAAAAATGGAAAAAGGCCAAACAAAGAGAGGGCCATCTTGAACCAAAAAATGAGTTACCTGGACCACATGTCCTGGGTCCCCACGGGAAGCACTCATCAAGCACATTCTAATGTTCCAGGGTCGGGTTGATAGCATGTGGTCAGTCCGAAAGGCCTCTCTGGTGGAAGAAGCAGGACTGGACTAAGCAAGAATGCAAATTCTACTCCCAGCTCCACTGGCTGTCAGTGGCCTCTTCTGGACTCTGTTTCATTTTGTGTGTGTGTGTGTGTGTGTGTGTGTGTGTGTGTGTGTGTACACGCATGCACATGGATGGGTACGCATGCACATGCACATGCAGTGTTAATTGCTGAAGAGGCTGCGAAGTGGATCACCTTTCATGGTCCCTCTGGAGAACCTCACGATGCTCTGGACTGGCCTGCCCCAAACCCATAGCCACAAACACACAGGCCCTGCTCCCAGGCCTCCCACCCCTCAGATCTGCTGCAGATTTGGAGGTGGGGGGGGTGTGTTCCATGGATTAGAGGTTAAGCACCGCCAGCAGAGATAGTAGTAATCACACAGGAATATTTATAGGTCATTGCTAACAAGTATTCAGTTACAACACCCTGTAATTTTCTAAAACGTTTCAGGCAACCTAAAATGGAGCTACAAATCTTTCCCACTTGGGAGAAGGAGGGAAAATGCCGTCTTTCTCCTTCATGGGTTGTTTCCATTTGCCCGTGTGGCCCCTGCCCTGGGACAGTGAAGGAGGTGCTGTAGATGGTGGGGTTCGGGGTGGGAACTCAGCAGCCAGCAGCAAGCCACATCTGCCCTCCCCAATGTCCTGTTTGCCCATCCTGCTGTCTGGAAAACGGGAATGGCAAGGCCTGTGCTGTGCGCCTTGTGGCTGAGAAGACTGCCCCCAGTCAGTCAGGGGAAGAAGGCGTAATGTGAAAAAATCAAAAGTCACAGTGAGGAGTCTCCAAGGAGCACAGGAAAGCCCCAAAGACTGGAGCCGCAGAAGCAGGGAATGCGGTGGGGCAAGCTGACAAGGAACCATTCAGGACACGCCTCAACTTCACCCTGCAAACCAAGGCCTCCCTCCAGGGAAACCCGGTGGGAGGAGCCGCCAGGCTCTGGAGGCCACCGGGGAGAGGGGTGGGCCCCCAGGACTCAGGGGGCCTGGGGCCCTGCACACAGCCAGCGGCAAACAGGAGGAATAAGGAAACCTTGTCAGAGTCACCAGGAAAAAAAACAGCCCATGGGTCAAACCCCATTAGGAGGAAACTTGAAGCAGGCCTGATTTAGGTACACTGTGTATTTCCCTAAACTAAAATTATTGAAAGCTGAGCCTTGGGGCTCTTTTTATTATGAAAGAGCTTCTTTGGGGGGAGGGGTTGTTTCCTAGATTTTGTTAGTTTTGGTAAAGTTAGAGTTCATTTTATTGAAATTTCACAAGCAGCAATAAAAACTGTTTTTTTTAAGAGTACATTCCCAAAACACACACACTTTAGTTGGTAGTAAACAGATACACCTTTCTTTGTGTAATTAAAAAAAATAAATAATCAAATTATAAAGGCATGGGGGGGTACTATTTAAAAGAATCCTGTTATAAACCCACTGGGGAAGGGGAGGTGTAAATAGGTGTAGCACACAGGGGTTTTTTTTTGGGTTTTTTTTTTTTTTTAGTACTGAGGATTAAACTCAGGTGCCCTCTACCACTGATTTACACCCCCAGCCATTTTTAACTTTTTTGTTTTGAGACAGGGTCTCTCTAAATTGTTGAGGCTGGCCTTGAACTCATAACCCTCTAGCCTCAGTATCCTGAGTAGCTGGGATTACAGACGTGCACCACCATCTCTGGCAGCACAGAGAATTTTTAGGGCAGTGAAACTCTTCTTGTGACTCTATAATGTGAAAATGTGTTAATACATATCTGCTTCAACCCATAGAAGGTAGAACACCAAGAGTGAAACCTAAAGGGAACTATGGACTTTGGGTCATACTGATGTGACAATCTCTATCAGTTGCTGCTGGATTTTGCTGTGAACCTCAAGTTGCTCTAAAAAAAAAATGTTTAAAATGAACCTCAATTTATTTATCATGTAAATATGAATTTTTACATATGATATTTGCTTCAAGGATCATGCACCAATACTAAATCTTCTCATCATTAAAACAAGCAATGATGCACTTTCTCCAAATGCAATCGCATCCTGAATGGCTTGTAATGGTTCTTCTTAGAATTGGAAGTGAAAAGAAAAAAATAAACAGAAAAACCCTATTTTTTTTAAAATAATGTCTACTTACAATATAAACAACTCAGTTAATGAGATTAAGGGAAAGATTCCCCATAGGTGGCTCCTGCTGGCCAAGGTGCCAAGAGATTCATTTAGTTAGCACAAACACATCCATCTGCCTGCTTCTTGGCTCATTGATACCTGTAGTTGCAGATATCTCCATAATGGGCTTCTTAGTTCTTTCTGAACCCAAACTAGTCTCTAGCTGGGGAGAGGGCCTCTCCTTCCATGGCCCAAGGGTATCCAACCAGCCTCCTCAGAAATAAAAATAATGATAAGAAAATAGAGTGATATATCGTCTTCTGTGGTCAACACATAGCGCTTCACAGAGGACAAACACTTCAACACCATTGCTGTCACTGGTCTTCACAGACTGAGAATTATCCAGAGGATATCCCAGGGTTGTGGGATAGAGAGGAATAGGGCAGGATTCCTGGATTCTGGTCCCCCTTTCCATGTACACATCCTTCTCTACCCATCATCATAGAGAGCTCAGGGGTCAGATTCCTAATGGTTGAAAAGAAATGCCTTGTGGATTTTATGTTAGGCCCAAGAGCAAGGCAAGCTCCTCATACAGATGGAGAAACTTCCTAGGATCCTTTTAGAGTCGGCAGAGCTGGCCAGAAACCCTGGAGTCCTCTTTAATCTATTCTGAGAAATCCAAACCATCCCTTGAGTCCTTCTCTTGCTTCTCCCTTGTGCCACAACAGGTAATTGAACTCACAAACAAACGAAAAGCCCTTCAAACCTCATGACTGGCCCAGCCACTCAACAGAATCTGCCATTCCATCCTCTCTGTCCCCAGTGAGGGAGCAATAGAGAGTTAGACCTGGAATGGAGAGCAGCAGCCACCTTCTAAATGCCCCGTTTCCTTTCATGGCCCTATCTAGCTACATCTGCAGACTCAGACGGGTGTGCTGGCAACACAGCAGGGCTGTTCACCTGTTCACCCTACACCCCACTATCCTACACACCCAACAGCACGTCTGCTTTTAGCCCTCCCACACTTAAGAGCCTCCAACTTAATTAAATCTAAATCCAAACACCCCACAGTAGGAGTAAAATTAATTTAAATGTCTTATTTACTCTCTTCCAGTTTAATTCCTTAAAGCAGATCTTTCTGGTTGGTGTTTTATCCCATGTAGATATCCCTTCTGTCTTTTATCCTTCAATTTGTAGTTTTTGCCCTTGTACGTTCTCACTATATAAGTAAATATGGAAGCTTTTGGGTCAATCTCTTCTAACAAGATCTCCCACGCTCTCTGTAGCTTTCTGATTTTTCTCTGAACCTTTCTGATTCATTCCACCCTCTTAAACATAAAGTGTCCCCATTCCCTCTCCCAAAGCACACACCTTGCATTATCAGCATTTGGTCTTTACCCCACCAGACCAGGACACTCCGTCACATCCTTCAGGGAAGACACAATCTAAGACATTCCCTACTTGCAACTCTTAGCTCCTACCCTTGAATAACTGAAATCTAGTGTTTGCCATTCCAGAAACACTTTGGATTATGGCAACAGTCACTAAATAACTAACTAACGAGTGAAGCTTGACAAAATTTAGAAATCATCTGGGCTGACCTGGATATTTTAATTTGAAAAAAACTGAGAATCCAAAGAGGTACATGAAATCCAAGAGTTGAGGGCTGAACTCTTTACCCCACAGATTCGGCAACAGAGAAATAGCGACTAAACATGAGGCTCCCCGAATGAGTGACTGAACGGGCTTCCCCAGACAACCCCATGGGCTTCTCTGAATAAGTACATTTTATAAGAGAAATTCTGCCTCTTAGTTAAGACCCAGTGCCAAAGATGCCAGGTACCAAAAACTAAAGAGGTCGTAACATTTGAAGGGGAAAAAATGGCACACATGCATCCTAGAAACCTATGCTTTAATCATGAGTCAAATATGTGAGAAGCATTACTGAAATAGTCTTATCCTGGGTGGGGGTTGGGGAGGAGACTTCCAAAGTACAAGATACCATGCACGGGAGTGACTCACAGCCAGGAGTGCCCTTCACCCCAGATAAGAGCAACAGGAATCCCACAGGTCACTGGACCAGGAGACCCAAGCCGGTTCTGGCTTACAGGGCTTGCTGTGGGACCTCACGTGTGTGTCCCACCTCTCCAGAATGACAGTATGCTGCAACATATCAGGGACCTTGGCCAAGTGACGCAGTGTTCTACTGACTGGATGCATGAATCAGACAATACGATTGGTCGTGAGGTTCTGTACTGAACATATATGGACTATTTTCCTTGTCATCATTCTTAAAACAATGGAGTAGAACAACTATTCACATAGTATTTATATTGTAAACTATCTAGAAAAGGTTTAGGGTATATGGGGAGATTCTGTGGTTTACATGCAAATATTAAGCCATTTTATATAAGGGATTTAAGCATCTGCAGATTTGGGTGATCATAGGGCATCCTGGTACCAGTCGCCTGTGAATGTTATTGGACGACTGTATTCTAAATCAGCTCTACTTATTAGCAATAACCTTGATCAAATCATTCATGCTTTCTACCCCATCTGAAAATCAGAAATACAATATGCCTTTCAAAACTGTAGTGAAGATA